GGGAGCTGGTGGCGGGGAGGGGCATCCTTCATACGTATTCCAGTCCGATCCAAGCGCACCTGCAGAGGGGGGAAAAGGAAAGAAAAGCATGTCATTGGTTGTATTAGAACGGGATTGTGGGTGATCTCCCCCCCGCTTTATTTCTAAACTGTTTCTACGAGTTACCCTATAATTCAGCGGTTCTCAACCTGTGGGTCGCGACCCCTTTGACGATCGGAAGACCCTTTCATAGGGGTCGCCTAAGATCATCCTGCATATCAGATATTCACATTACAGTTATGAAGTAGCAACGAAAATAATTTTATGGTTGGGTCACAACACGAGGAACTGTATTAAAAGGCCAGAAGGTTGAGAACCACTGCATAATTTTAAAACAATAAACACACCTTGAAAACCGGCTAAGTGAAAGAAGCCGATCCCCAAAGGCTGCATATTGTGTGGTGTCGTTTATAGGAGGGGTCTTGACTAGGCAGGGATATAGAGATTAGTGATGGCCAGAGGCTGCGGGGAGGGGAGAAGGGAGGATGACGGCTGTCAGGTATGGGGTTTCTTTTCGGGTGATGAAGATGTGAAGAGGGAAATTGATTGTGGTGATGGTTGCACGCCTCTGTGATTACACTAAATCATTGAACTGTACAGTTTAGATTGGTGAATTGTGTGGTATGTGAATACTAGTAATACCTCAATAAAGTTGTTTATCAAGTAAGTGCAATAAAAGGTAAACAGAATTCCCACCACCACACCTAATGCAGCAGAGCAGTGGTGCTCAAACTCGGCTACATGTCAGAATCATTTGGCCTATGGACTATATAATAAAGAATGAGAAAGACAACTAAGTATGGTGTGGAAAGTGACCTGGACTAGTAATCAGAAGACTTGAATCCTGGTCTTATCGCTAAATTAATTTTGTATCCTTTGTCATGTCACTCAAGGTTTTCCTTGCAATGTTGTTTAAACTGTAAAATGCTCTTAAAGTTTTCCTTTTAATAGGAAGCTGCTAGGAGTATTCCAAAAAACAAATGCCTCTGAGGCTAAATATTATTTCTTTAATTCAGGCAAGTGTGTCACTCAAAAACAATTATTCCTCTAAAATGACTGGATCTTACTTTTGTATTATTATTACTTTGTCATTTTGACCTTAGTTTGCAAGGTTGGTAGGATAAGTATAATAAAATATAATTTTAGGTGAGAAATGGAAACTCAGGGAGGTTAAGGGATTTGTCTCAGATGACACAGCTGAGTGTCAAATTCACTTCTTCAGAAAGCAACACTAATGCTCTTTCTTCATATCACTTGCCCATGATTATTCTTGGTTTTGCATCATGATCAGAGGTCTTCACCTATTGCAAAGTAGGTCTTAAACTTCTCCAAGTGGGCTTAATTTTAATATTGTAAAATGCTATTGTACATAGCCACAAAGTTAGAAAATCGCAAAGTAGCCAGTCTCATAATTTGCACTGTAATATGTAACGATGTTGGAACCATAATCTGTAAACAGTGTTTCTCATTCTGTGGACTGAAAACCAACTACGTCAGAATAACTTGAGATCATTATCTTTAAATATAGATATTATGTCCCAAGCTCTGAACTACTGAATCAGAATTTCTGGGTCATAGATAAAGAATAGGCAGACAGTACTGGTGGTTAGGGTCAGGATGGGAGAGTGGAGGGATTGAGCAAAAAATAAAAAAAATAAAAAAGAATTCATAGAGAGAACAACATTGTGGTGACTGTAATGGTGCTGGGGTGGTGGAAGAGGGTATAGGGGGATAAATGGTGATGGAAAAAATAAAATAAAGAAAAAAAACATTAAAAAAGAATTTCTGGGGAATGCAACCCCAGAGTATTCAATTTTAACCAACAAAGTAGATTTTCATATAAATACCAAAATTTGAGAACCATTGGCAGCTTTGGTTCTGATTCCAAGATCTTAACTACAGTTCTGCATCTTTCTCCAGACTCACTGCTTTTCTTACTGTTCCCTGAAAAAGTCTAACTGCAGGGCCTTTGCATTTGCTGATTCAGGAAATGTTAATAAGTATACTAATATGTAAAGGGAAAGGCTTCTCTTAACACTACATCTATTAGCACATTAGCCCTAACTGGTTTGGCTCAGTGGATAGAGCGTCGGCCTGCGGACTCAAGGGTCCCATGTTCGATTCTGGTCAAGGGCGTGTACCTTGGTTGCGGGCACATACCCAGCAGGGAGTGTGCAGGAGGCAGCTGATCGATGTTTCTCTCTCATCGGTGTTTCTAACTCTCGATCCTGCTCCCTTCCTCTCTGTAAAAAAAAAATCAATAAAATATTTTTTAAAAAGATATTAAAAACTAGCCCTAGTTGGTATGGCTCAGTGAATAGAGCCTTCGCCTGCAGCCTGCAGGGTCTTGGGTTTGATTTTGATCAAGGGCATATGCCTGGGTTGAGGGGTTGACCCCCAATAGGGGGCGTGCAGGAGGCAACCAATCAATGATTCTCTCTCATTATTGATGTTTCTATCTCTCCCTCTCCCTTCCTCTCTGAAATCAATAAAAATATATTGAAAAAAGATATTAAAAACTATAAAGAGATGCCACCACAGACCCAGCAAAGTGTTTTACATTTTACTTATTATTTCTTTCTTTATTTTAACCTGAGAACATGTCTTCATTGATTTAAGGGGGGTGGGGAAAGAGGTGCTGGGAACACGAGGGAGAGAGAAAGAGATCGGTTGCCTGCAATATTGTCCTGACCCGGGATGAACCCTGGACCCTTCTGGTGGGCGATCAAAGTGTGACATATCAAAGGTTAATGAGGAAGTGTTACAACAGAGAACTCAGTTATATTTTTGGTGGTAGTATAAATAAACTGGTATAAACAGTCTGAAAAAATGTTTGGAAAATGCTCGGTTCAGATTATTCAATAACTAATTTGTTCTCTCAGCAAACATTCATTGAGGGTATAGTAAAGTATGGTGTTGCTTGCTGGGGTAAAGATGAAATGCATGAGGATGTTCATGAGAGACAGTCAATGTCACATAGCACAGGGATCACTCTGGTGATGGTACGTCTGCCCTAAAACCACATGGGGTTGTGGAGGGAGTTAATCTACTTTGGGTGTGAAGGAAATTAAGTAAAAGGAGGTGATATCAGGGCTGACTTTTGAAGAATGAATCTTCATTAACTATTTGAAGGAAGAGAAGAAGGTTGTTCTAAATAGAAGAAACATCTTTGCTCAAATACAGCCAGCTCTGCCCATTTTTAGTACTGCTAGAGCATTGGGTACGGGACTTGAGAGGGCCTGGGGATGACAGGAGGCAGGAAGGAGACAGATGGTTAAACAGAGGGAAGGTCATGAAGGGCCTTCTATTCCATGTTAAGAAATTTTTTCTAAAGGTAACAAGGAGCTTTTTAAGGATTTTAATCAAGGGCTGTGAAATAATCAATTTTTAGAAAGATTACTTTGATAATATCATGAAGACTAGAGGTGTTGAGGAGGATAAAAGTTAGTTAAGCTAAAAGTCTAAATTATAGGAGTAGTGGAGGGAAAGAAAAGAGGGCAAGGATTGGAGAGGTTTTAAGAAGTCACATCAATAGCACTCAGAGGGGAAGGAGAAGCTTAAGAAATCACCCCAAGTTTCGGACTGGGCATCTGGCTGGAGGTGTTGTAATTTGTCAATTTATTTACCTATATATGAATGAAGTGTTAATGCAGATGAAAGACTGGTAACTCTTTCTGGAGGAAAAAGAGGCTTCCTTAAGAAGGTGAGTCCCAGAATCCATGTCTAGCTGCTCCCACATGCTATACTTGCAGTCATCGTTTCAACAGTAAGAGCTAAACTGAATCCTAAATTAGCAACATTATTTGGATATTTTATTTTAGAAAAACATACACTGATTTAAAATCTTAAAGTATTTCCTTTTAGATTGCATAATCCTGTTATATTTACTTTTTGCACTGGCATTTCCTTTCTTTCTTCTCCTCTAAGGGGGGAATAATGCCCAAGATTTCAAGACTGGACTTGCAGATTTGGTTAGAGTTAAACAACTTTGTTACATTTTGTAATTAAAATTGGCTTTTAAAATTGTTTGAACTGTCGAGAGGCCATTTAAGATTGTAAGGTGGCTCAATACCAGACAATGCAACTGTTTATTAGCAACTTACTAAAGGGGGAAAGAACAAAATAAATTGCAAATTTCTTCCAAGATGTGAGAGATTTAGAGTCAAATGAGAGGGATAGAATTAAATTGGACATACTTGACATTTTTACAAGAATAATCCAGAATAAATTAAAAATACAGAAAAAATACCATGAATGCTCCTACTTGCCTAAAATGAGACAATCTGAATATCAAAAAGGATAATGCCTGCCATGGATTAAAAAAAACATCAAAGATATAAACAAAAGTGATGAGTTTCTAATATTAACAAAAACCTCCAAAATAATCATCTTTGGAGGTTACCAGGTCACCAACTCTGAAAATTGATGAAGAGAAATAATCAAGGTTTTTCTTGTACAAACTGTATTTCAGGTTAACTAAATAGTTGATGAGAGTACATTCTTTATAGAATTCCACCTAATAGATTCACAAAGAATGCTAAAATCAGAAAATTACTGTGTCATAACCCCAAATGAAAGAATTTATCTATGTAACACTAAGCAATGGATGTTAAAAATCATTCAATGAAACATTGGTTGGGATTTTAATAATAGAGGGATTAGGCTGAAACCACCTGAAATTACAGATTAATCTTAATATTATTAAAAGTAGGATAAACGAGAGGTGTCATTTACCTGTCGTCTTTCAGCTCCATATCCATACCTCCTGTAATTTGTTCTCTGATGCTGAGATTAGACTCTGGAAACAAAATTTCTCTTTTCACAGCTGGGTGCCTGGTAGTTTCCACCAACAGGAGACACTAGAGATTGGAGGATAGAAAAGGGACAGAAAAGGAATGAATCCCTCCTGTTTTTCCTTTTCTTGTCTAGATTGCCCCAGCAGCAGCCCTTCCTCCTGGTGGCAGCAGTTTCCTTTCTTTTACAACCCTCAAAAAACCCATTCTCTTCCATCTTTGCAGAAACACTAGCAGTAACCAGGGGCACTCCTTCCTCAGAGGTTTCTTCACCCACAGCTCTGAGAGGTCCTTTCTCTGAGTTCCATTTTGTTCCCTCAGCTTTAGGGGCTGTAATAGTTCCTCCAGTTATATATTTTGGTTATCTCAGCGCTATTTATTTATTCTTTCAGGTCTTTCACACCTGTCTAACCAATCCCTTAAATTAAATCTCTTGAAGTATAAAGTGGTTTATTTTCTCATCTATCAGGCCAGAAGTGATGCATTCATAGCTCCTAAGAAGTCTTTTTAAGTCAGATTTATTGTGGTATAATTTACATGAAATAAAATTCACCAGTTATAAGTGTATAGTTTTGACAGCCAAGCAACCATGACCACAATCATATATAGAACATGTGCATTACTCCTAAAAGTTCCATTGTGTCCCTCAGTAGACAATCTTGTTTCCCCATTCTTGGCTTCTAGCAACCACTGATCTGGTTTTTGTTGCTATAGCTTTATCTCTTCTAGAATTTCATGTAAATGGACTTATTCAGCATGTGCTCTTTGTGTCTGGCTGCTTTTGCTTAGCACAATGCTTCTGACATTCACCCATTCTGTTGTTTGTTCTTTTTCATTCCATCATATGAATGTAGTAGTATTCCATCATATGCATACTCCACAATTTGTTCATGCATTCACCAAATGATAAATTATAGTAGCTGTGATTTTAAGAAGATAGACAAAGTAGACATATTAAACTATCTTATAAAGATAAAACACTTTAAAAAGTGTCACTTGTATTATTACTACTATTATTAATACTAATATTAGGATTACAAAATTCAATATATCTGATTAATTACCAATAATATTTTAAACAGTTTCTTAGGTAATAGACAAAATATAAATAGGACCTGTTGAACTAGGTAATATATTGGGTGAGATCATCTTGGACAGTGCTAAAACATTTTTATCTGCATCTGACTTTCTAGGTAAGTTGAGGAAATTGTACCATCAGGAAGAAGTAACAACAATGAGATGTGCAGAAATGTGAGAGACCATGAGTATCAGTATGTGCTGGTTTCTAGCCCCCATGCTTTGCTATGTTTTTTTAAATCTTGGCTGCATCTATGTAAATAATCCTTTCAGTACATTCTCTTTTTTAAATTAAATTTATTGGGGTGACCCCGGCTGGTGTGGCTCAATGGTTGAGCATCGACCTATGAACCAGGAGGTCATGGTTTGATTCCAGGTCAGAGCATATGCCCAGGTTTTAGGCTTGATCCCCAGTAGGGGGCTTGTGGGAGGCAGTTGACCAATGATTCTCATGACTCTCTCTCATCATTGATGTTTCTTTGCGTCTCCATCTCCTTTCCTCTCCCTGAAATAAATAAAAATATGTTTTAAAAATTTATTGGGGTGACATTGGTTAATAAGATTATGGAGGTCTCAAGTGTACATTTCTATGATACAAAATCTGTATATTGCATTGTGTGCCCATCACCCAAAGTCAAATCATCTTCCGTCACCATATATTTGCTCCCCTTTACCCTTTACTACTCCCCCACCCCCTTTTCTCTGGTAACCACCATTCTGTTGTCTATGCGTTTCAGTTTTATATCCCACATATGAGTGAAACCATATGGTTCTTAGCCTTTTCTGACTGATTTATTTCACTTAGCATAATATTCTCAAGATCCATCCACATGTCGCAAATGGCAGTATTTCATCTTCCTTTTCTTATAGCTGAGTAGTATTCCATTGTATATATGTACCACTTCTTCTTTATCCAATCATCTATAGAAAGGCCTTTTGGTTGTTTCCATGTCTTGGCCACCAGGAATAATGCCGCAATAGGCATAGGGGTGCATATATCTTTATGAATACAGGCTGACAGAGTAGCTACCATCTTGAATATTATCCTTCTCTGTGTCAATGGGAAAGAAAAATCTGGGCAGTCTTATATTGACAATTAAACCAGAAGAGAAACATGTCACTCCCACTGACAAATCATTGGCCTGCACCTATCATATGACTCCATTCACTACAAGGAGCTGGAAAGTGCGACCCTGCCATATATGCCCAGGAGAACCTGAAATATTTGGTAAGTCTTTATTATTGCTAAAATCTGCAGTGCTAATTGTCGTTCTTCCCACACCACCAGCCTCTTCCTTGATCCCCCATTTCAGAGAGCTGCAGTCCAATAGCCACTGCTCACCTAACTAGCACCAGGGTCCTCAAGGTGCCCTGCAGTGGTACCTGGAGCTACTTCTTCTTTTTAATGATTTTAAATATATTTTTATTTATTTAAGAGAGAAAGGGAGAGGGTGAGAGAGATAGAAATATCAATGATGATAGAGAATCACTGATCGGCTGCCTCCTGCACCCCCCACACTGGGGATTGAGCCTGCAACCCGGGCATGTGTCCTGACTGGGAATTGAACCGGAGCCCTCCTGGTTCATTGGTCCATACTCAACCACTGAGTCATGCCAGTTGGGCTGGAGCCACTTCTTTGGCCCTCTGAGGGAACTTAACTATGGGCATTCTGTAGCTGAATTTACCCATCAGAGCTGTGTAATAGCATTAATTGTCCACCTTGGCCCACTGTGGGCCCCGTAAAAGCTCACAGAGTAAGCCCTTATGGTCAAGATGACCCTTTCAGGAGTACTGTGAAATCCATTCTTTCTTCTTGCCAAGAGTATCCAAATTTCAAGTATTTAAAGGACCTGGATACAAAAACCCAACATTTTTTCACTGTTCAGGCTGTTTTTATTCCATAAAAACTCCCCTTCAGTCTCCAATACCTTCTTAAAATATATATCATGTAGATAAATATTAATAGACATTAAACAAAACCCACTATGTAATTTCTGAAGGAATATCTGCAAACTCAATTATAATAAAGATCCTTAATTAGAAGAATAATAGAGAGGAGTTGCTTTTGAAGGAACCATAATTTTATGTTCCTAGTCTCTTATTATGGCTTCTTAACTGGAGTCCGTGAACACCTGGCTACAACATGTTTTTATGTAATTGGTTTCTTTTGTAATTCTTTGTATTGTATTTTCTTCATTTAAAAACATTAATCTGAGAAGACATCCAAAACTTCACCAGACTGCTAAAGAGTTACTTGGCATGTTAAGAACAGTTCTAAAAAGTTCTAGTGTGAGTAAACATTTCCATATTTCCACAGGGTGGTGCTATTGCTTTAAGAGTAAGGACGAGTAAGTCAAGCTCTTTGAACAAGAGTACAAATTACCTTAGAGAAGTTTGAGGAACAAAGGGGTGATGTGGCTACAAATAGTTATAGTAATCTTAATTTTAAGAGAAAGTTTTCATTTCTAACAGGTAAAATGCAAATCCATTATTATCTAGTATATAAAATGTCTATTGTAATGGGTTTTTACTATTTTAAAGTAGTATCTAACACAAAAATGCAAGCTTTTGAGGACCTGTTAGCCAACCAATTCCCTAAACATTTATTCTACACAATATTACATATTTTCTTCAACATACAGAGCTCTCACTGTGGTATCATTTTTCTTGCCCATGTTTTCAGGCTTTTATTTTCCAAGTTAGCTCCATTCTGGATTTATGTATGTAGACATCATTCTTTATATGCACTGAATTCCAGCTAGATTCAATCATTTATCAGATGCACATGGCAAGTTCAAAAGTAGAAATCCAACTCCTGAACAGAAACTGGAAATCATATGATGGATATTGCACGAAGACCCCAGGGAAGAAACAGAGCTAGTTATGTTAGCAAAAACAACATATACAGGTATGCTTAGCTTTTTGCAAGTTCAAGTTACATCACTTCGCTTTTATGAAAGACCTACATTACTACTGGTTTTCACTAACTGAAATAAATCTGAAAAGGATTTTTGATTTTACCAAAAAAAAAAAAAAGGCGAAAATAGCGTTCAGCATTTGATTTGCAATTAGCCATTATAGAGGCAGCAGCAAGAGTGGCCTTTCAAGTTCCTTCCCATCATGATGCCACTATAGCTTCCAGCTGTGTCTGTGAGCATCTGAGCTGTATCTCAATTTATTTTGTGCATTCCTGTTTAACTGTATGTTAGTATTATTTTAGGTTTTATGTGTTATTTGATGTGATTTGGTAGGTTATGTTTTTGGAATGCTAAAAAATATTTCCATATAAATTAATAAATTTCTTTGCTTTATACCATTTTGACTTACAAAAGATTTCACAGGAGCCCTGGTGGGGTATCTCAGTTGGTTAGTGTTGTCAGGATATGTCAAGGTTGCGGATTTGATTTCTGGTCAGGGCACATACTAGAAACAACCAATGAATATATAAGTAAGTGGAACAACAAATAGGTCTCTCTCTCTCTCTCTCTCTCTCTCTCTCTTTCCCTTACCCCTCCCTTTTCCTCCCTTCATTTCTCTCCTTTAAATCAAGAAATAAAATATATTTTTACCCCTCCCTTTTCCTCCCTTCCTTTCTCTCCTTTAAATCAAGAAATAAAATATATTTTTTAAAAAGTTTTCATAGGAAAACTATACTTGGTGGGGGAAACCTATATTTGAAACCAATTGCTTCAAAAGAATCTGAGGAGGAAGGTGGTGGTGAGAAGTGGGTGGTGGCATAGAAGAAATAAGATGACTATGTGATAATTGTTAAAGCAAAGTGATCTTTTTATTTTTGTATATGTTTGAAATTTTTTGTAAAAAAAGAAAATTATCACATACATAAAATAATAAAATGCTGACAGGCTACATAAGTGAATATTTGGTTATCAGAGTCTTATTTGTGAGAATACACACCAAGCCACAGAATTAACATAAGAGAGGGATGCGTGCTGATGTGGAAGATGTTGTAAGGCACAGGAAATGAATA